TTTAATTAATTATATATTTACACGATTATTATTTAAAAAATTTGTGACGAACAAATTTATTTAAAAAAATTAAATTCCTTAATTATCATATATGCACGAGATTCATTTATAACTGTGTAATTTATATAGCTCGAACAGTATAATAATATACATTTATATGCTATATACTTCGTAGTTTACAAACAAAAATACTTGTAAGTACTATACAACAAAAGAATAAAACGGACGTGTAATAGAAGCATAATTTTTACGTTCTACTAATACATCGAACAATGGAACATCGAGTGAAAATCCGATACGAATTATTGAAAATTTATATTTAAATATTTGATAAAAAAAAGTTAGGTGATAAGTCATGAAACGTTCAGTCTTAATTCATTTACGTATCTTCATTTTTTCCCCCTTTGTATAAACGACGTTACTATAATTGTACGCGAATACGTTTAATAATTACAGTTTGACGAAAGCAGAAGTAAAAATGATAATGACGATGCTAGTATACTGTGCGCATATTGTTCTCTAAGCTTTTATCTTATTTTGTTGTTGAGATCGTCTAGCCTTTATTCTTGCCTGCAAAGTAAGAAGAAGGCCCGCGAGAACATCGTGATTAGGTAGTTTCTTTGCAAACAATAGACGTTTTACCGAGTCGTCGTATGTTAACAAAGCGACCATGTTTTGAAGCAGAAACCCTTGACAGTATTCTAGAAGTTGCGTTGCATTGTAAACCTAGAAGATATCATGAGCAGTTCATATATTTTATTAAAAAGTTTTATAATACATCGATACGTAATGTACATACCTTTGCATGAATGTACATAGAAACAATGTTGTCTAGATCAACCATCGAAGAACATTGTGCTTCACAGTACCTAAGTAGACCGTCTAATTGGAAAAAATTCGCGGCAGCCATTAATTCCAGAACGTCGCTTTGATTGACTTCTAACGTGGCGCAACCACCGTGGTATAAAAACTCCATAACCATCTGAGAGTTAAAATAAATTTAATTTTTCTGTTAAGTAACTGAAACTATTTAATTTTATGGGGGATTTGACATACCTGGAAAATGTGGTATCGAATATCGTTAATCTGTACAATGGGAGGATTTCCCTCACATAACTTCGAGCTCAACATGTTTCTGAATCTTGGCGAAGACGTAACTAACACGATTTTATGGCCGTAAAAAACTCTGCCCTCTACTCTGAATTGTACATCGCTTAATTCTGGATTATTTACAAACTTGGGGTCTATTCTGGACCCACTTGATAGCGTGGTGTCTCTAATGGGTTTTATCGGTTCCCATCCAAAGCACGTACAAAAGATATCCGCGAGAAGAAGCGTCGTGCCTTCTTTCTGTACACAAAATACAAATAACAAGTTGTAAAAGACTGTTATAACTGTGTATTTATGAGTGAAGTATAACTTACCTTACTGTACCTAAATATATTGAATAACAATGGAAGACATTCTTGTACAAATTGTGTGGAATAGTCATCTGGACACACTTGAAGGAAATCTTGAAGCAATTGATCTATCACTGAATCTAACCTCATTTCGTGGGCTATTGCAAGACTGTGCATCCAGCAATGTAATGTCCAACCTACTTTTAATCCACGCAGTTCCATTGTAATATCTGTGAAATACATATTTAAATAGAATTTTGTACACAAAGTATATCAAGTTTGCTTTCGAATATATTTTACCTAAATGGTTGCTCTCAGCACTATGGTACATTGCTTCTTGCAAAGCTTTAGTCTGGATCTTGTTAAAAACTGGTTCTTTTCCTTCTCTTCTGTTTGCTCTTCCATCTACAGTTTGTTGTTGTGGACTAGTACCTGCACTGCCTTCTGCGAGAATCTCTTCCAATGATAACACTTCTTTCTCTCCTCGTTTGGCAGAAAAATTCAGAGGATGAGATAATAATTGATGAAGACAAATTCTTTGGCCATGTGCTGTTGCCACTGATATCGCACTATACATCAAACATATAAATTGATTTCTTTCTTAATTTTTATTCAAACCTTTTTATTACTTGCCTGTAACAGCCACGCTGAGCAGAACCAGAGTACGAAAACGAATCCTTGATCAAGGTGGACAAAAATGGCTGAGCTCCATGAGCCAGAAGCAGTGCTACCATTTCATTGTTACCAGATGCTGTAGCAGCTTGCAATGGCGTAACTGTGGATTTATCTTCACTGACTTTAGCTCCACCTTCCACTGCTGCACCCCTTTCCAACAATATCCTAGCTATGTTGCAATGCCCTAGCAAGGCTGTGTAGGTTAAAGCAGTCCAGTGCTGTGTTTCTGCGTTAAATCCAGTCTGAGTACAACATATGCTACCAGAAACATTACTGGATGAGCCTGGAGAACTGAAGGAAGAATTTGGAGACTGCACAATCTTCCCTGGAGTCACCATGGCAGATGGAGTTACTGGACTTCTAACATTTGATACACCAGGAGTCACTAAACTCTTGGAAGGCGTGTTTGCTGACTGACCAGTGGATGGAGGTGGGATTTCGATATTCAAATCGGCTCCAGCATCTAATAAAGCTAATACAGCGGTTTCATCACCATTGATACACGCTATCATTAGAGCAGTGAAGCCATTGTCGTTCACAGTGTTGATTTTTGCCACTGGTAGAAGAGGCATGGCTTGAGCAATGAGATCTGCACGACCGCTGGTTAGCATCTTGAAGGCCATGTCCATGGTGAGGAGGCGAATATACTCGGAGTCGTCGATGCGCTTGGAGCATACTGAAACTTCCTCGAAGCTAAGGAGAGAGTTGAAAATTAAGTTAGAAAATATTTCAAATGTTTCAAAAATTAATAATATACACTATATGTATATAAATATATCGAATGGGGAAAAGAGATATTACCATATGGGTCTGACAGGACAATCTACACCGGGCAATAACAATCTGGCAGCTTGATTAATGTCATCTTGATCTACAACTAGTCCGTGCCTGTGTTCTGCATGAGCGGTCGCAACTCTCAGCCACTCAATCAGCGGCGGAAGTACGACGTACGCTCTTTCGTACGCGAGCTCTTGTATTCCGGAACCACGTTCGCCGTGTTCTAACTGTATATAAATATTGCTTCGTTAATTCACATCAGACAGATGAAATCGATAGATAAAGGGTAACTGATAATGATCAAGTGGGCAAACCTGTGAACACCTCATATAATAAAACAAGGCATTCAGTGCCTTAGTTGTCAAAGGAATGGGTGAACGTCCAGCTTGAACCACTTTTGAAATTAAATCTATGAGCTCTGACATTGATCCTACGCAGGTGGTTAAGAGCGACGGTTCCAACGCTGATCCCGCTGCATCTCTTCCACTACGGGACGACGATGAGGAATTTAAAGAACTAACGCTGGCCCAGCGTGGCATGGCAAGGGCACCTGAAAATATTATATTGATCAAATTTCTGTTGGTAATACAAAGAAAAGTATTATTCCCTTTTGGTAAACAAGCAATTTGTTTATACATTTGTTAAGCTTCAAATGATCTAGAACGTATACATTAGATATTTGTGCCCTGGGAAACGAACACCCTATATATACAATATAATAATTATTAATAAAATTTTTTCTTCGAAATTGTAAATAAATTTTTTTTTAATTTAACAGGTAATTAGTTAAGGTATTTGAAGTTTCCATGAAATTTTTCTTTTCAATTTTGAATTTATATTCTCTATCTTAAAGCTCAGTGTTTACGACAAAGGAAGGTTTATGACATGGTAAAAAACATAGCTGAGTTTAAGGAATTAGTTTTCCTGTGCAGAATTGTCAAAATTCCGCTTCATCTGTGCTCAATAGAATAAAAATTTTTCATAAACCCAGGAATTTTCAAAGGATAATAGAATTGCCCTGTGTCCAAACTAAATTGGTTGCTCACAGTCATTAAGGGAAGAACCCTCATAAACCGTTTAACAGCTATGCCAATTTATCTTTTGAATTTTCACTTTATATTTGACATGTTGTTATGAACGTGAAATTATTTTTCCGATAAAAGATTCAACATATAGCAGGAATTCTACATTATTTAAAAAAAAGAGTTGCTTTAAAATATTATTGCAATCCTTTGTAGAAACAAAATGCAAAGCATTATTATATCATAGACACAGTACTCTAAGATATACATAATGGTTACTGTATTTTCATAAAAATTAAATATAAAGTTATATTCTGTACGAGAAGCAATTAGCCGGTCGTTAAATAACAATCAAAGTAGTACTAGACTAGACTATGTAACTAGAATTAGTCATACAATCAGAAGCGTTCAAATTCTGCACAATTTTAAGTACAGATGGTGGAAGTAATTCACGAAGGTCGTAAAATAGGTTAAGCGCCGAAGTTATGGAGTTCGAGCTTCGTTCAAGGACGTTTGATGTCAATTCGGAATTGGTTTTTTCATTACAAAATATTTAAACAATTTATCTGCGCCTTAATCCTTGATAGCTGCAGGTTCATTTGTACCAATACGGCAATTACTATTAAACAGTAGGCGACGTAGGTCTAATACCGTACAGTTTTAATGAAAAATTGTAAGTAGAAGTTTTCAATATCAATTCACAAATGACCTATGGCCCTGAGTGTGGCTACATCAATTGATGTCGCCATTTAAAGCTTTACTTTATGACCTCCCTATATCGCTTCCATCAACTATATATCAGAGAGCTATATCGTAGACATCGGCAGGTGAAATATTCTTTTTGTCTTCAAAGGTACCATTTAAACCGAGTTTACTCCATTAATTAACTTAATCCATGCCATCGACAACTTTTCTTTTTGTTTGAAGTTTTATAACCTATAAAGTTGTCGCCTACATGCATATTAATTTCCGACACAAAGTAACTCTACCTGATGCTGTTCGACCAGCATTCAGATGTGCGTACGGTTGAAGAAGTCCCCATAAATCTCCGCTGTTCGCAATGGCATGCTCCAACATGGTTGCAGTCAGCGTTGTATGGGGATCAGTCGGTATGCACTGCAATAATATTTCTTCGAGGAGATTCTCGATTCCAGCGGTCAAATATATAGCTGCGAATTCGTGTATCATTCTTCCTAGCCGTACATCGGACATCCAGCGAAGAAATCGTCCTACTGGTAGCTGTAATCCAGATCGTGAAGCTTTCGACTGCTTCAGCTGATCGCCAGATACAGCGAACATTGCTGCAGCTCGCAAGCATGCCTGTAAAATGAAGAGAATTTAATGGATGCTTGCATTAAACCACTATTAATGTAAATTTACACTAAATTTTAAACAATAGTTTGTCTGCAGCAAGTTGGTCTCGGTACTTTTCTATTAATCCATTACCTTTCATTTTTTACTTTTCCATTCCATATTTATTATGTATTATTACTTGATTTAACTTTTGCATTGTTCTATAATGATTGAACTTCATCTCCTATTATGAAGTAATGATGATACACTGAGACTATGGAATTTCAATATTAAGCATAACTACAGTTGATTATTATAACTGTATTCAATTATTAACAACAATATTCATTATTCGAGGTTGATCTTAAATGATTACCTGACTTTAAACTGTAAAGTCCAACAAATATTTTACCCAATTAATAAACATCAAATACTTATTTCACTTAAAGTAACATTAAGCATGTTGTGTTACATTACTTCATCATTATCTCCCCTTATTGTATCATTACCTTTTAATTCAACTTCCACTACAAGCAAGACATGTACAATAGAAAAAAAGGATACAAAATGAGCATCATCATATTAATCATCGCATCAACAAGTTGCCCGCTCCATTTCACGTACCTTGGTGCAAGAATCCGCCAAGGCCGGGCACAGCACGATTTTAAACGCGCTGTACACTTCATGCTTGCTACATAGACCAACAGGTTTGGCCAGTCTCTGCATTTCACGACCGATTCTGACCAGAGCACGTTGCAATAGGTAAGACAGACGCGGTATCGTCTCCATAGAGACCTGCTCCATGTGCTCCCTGGTGCGACCATTTTGCAACACGCGAAGGACATCGTGGTGAGTCCATGGTAATTGCTGTAACTCCACCAGTCTGTTATGAGAGTCCACCCAGACGAACTCATCCGCGCTAGTCACGTTGGTATTGATAGTCTCCAGGCTTGAGTGTCTCATCAGCCTCCTTACAGCTGGTTCTGAACTCTCGGAACCACTCAAGGAGGAGTAGGTGGAGGAGGATTTATGGGAACGCATGGTGAGCTGCTGGATAGCCAGTTTGATGTCTTCTAGCCCAGAACCTGACCAAGGGACCTGTAACTACAACAAAATTGTATCAAAATAGTGGAGATAAATGACTGATAGTTGTTATGGAGTAAGTTAAGTGAGAATGAAGAAGTTTTCTTTCAATATAGAAGTAATAATCTAAAGCATTCTCTACTTAAAAATGTATTATCTTTATGAATGTTTTAAAATTTTAAGAAAATGATTTGGTAAAAGGGATGTGCAGTATTCAGTGACTAATTAAAATAAGCATTTATTACCAATAATGAGTTCATCTTTACCATCAATCAACATACAAAATTTTTACATCACTCTTTACTGAAATATTAACTACCAACAAATTGCACAATTTATCCCATAAACTCAACTCCTAACATACTATCTGAACAGTCTTGTTCAATAAAACTTTATGCCAGTTATGTATCATTTTCATGATAATGTTGTAAGTTGCAACTTTTTCATTAACTCCTGGTAGTTTTATAGCTACCATTCAATGATCTCTTACTTATATTAACTTAACTAGTAATCTACCAATATAACAACAAAACAAAATTTCTTTAATAGTACAGAATCAGTGAACAATATATTAAAATTCACAAAAAGTGAACCTCTATTTCAAATATCATTGCAAAAGGGACACCTTGGCAGGTGTAGCTCTATGTCTGTTGCGATTCTGTCCGGATCTACTCCTGCCATTCCTCTGAGTGACCGAGGCTGATAAACGGTCGTCTTCTGGAACAGAGTTCAGCTGTTGGGGACTGTGTGCCCTATGGTGGCGATGTGGCGGTGAACTGCTGCTCGTGTGGCCACCTGTATCCGACATGCTAGCGTGTCCTGACGATCGATTCTCATCTGACGAGCTATTACCGGTGCATTCTGGTCGCCTCTGCAAAAGATATCAATGCTTTATGACATTTGCTGTCTGAACATCATGGTTCTATCTATATCTAAATGGTGATGGATGGTGTAGAAGAATGGAGTTATACCTTTACAATTGTATAATGTTTCAGTTCTTGAGAATTAAAGTGAAAAGTAGAGCTTTTCTTTTATGCTCTAGTTTAAATTATAAATAAAAATTATTAACATTATTCTGATTTAGAAAATTGAAAATTAATTATAAAAGTGAGGAAAAATTTTCAAATACCTGAAGCGCGCGAATTTCGTGTAAACTAAGATGATGGTGTTGAGAGTGATGGGGATGCTGTGGCGTTGGCGTTGGCGCAACGCTGTCCGTGTCCCTTTCCGCCACCATGTGAACCATATTGTGTACACCGTTTTTTGGCGAACTTTCCGTGAAGTCCTTCGAGTATGGTGGACAATACAATTCTCGTCCGTTGCCACCAGCTGGTCTGCATGACAAAATTTCACGAATATCAAAATCTGCTTTTTATAAAATAATATTTCTTTTTTCCAAGAATTGCTTATATTTCTTTTTTGACAAATGAGAATATATGAATAAATAAGAAATCATACGGGGTTTGCCTGTATTCTTCTATTTTAAACGACGACACATTATTCACATCATTCATGCAAACAACTAAATAAACAATTTTCATTTAAGCGCCACTATTAGGATGCATTAGTCGCGCCTGCGCTTGCGTGCATACGGGAGCTCGCTTACAGAAATGTTAAATAAACTCGATACTCGATACTCGATATCCTGTTAGGTAAGTTTCTCCTTAATTGCCCGCCAAATAATTCCCGCGTCAGTTCGATTCTCTTTTTTCACGGTACCCCGAGAAAGCGACCACGTAAGAAGAATATCTGTTCCCCCATATTCCGTTAGAACGATTTAGCTTCGAGGAAACCCGAACGCAGGGAGCGATAAAAATATTTAATCCCTCCATCAGAGATCGGAAAGATAAAATGAGGGTTAGGGAGGATTTTTGCGACCAATATAATAATTCAAGTGTTTCGATGGAATTTTGTGATAAGTGAACGGTATTCTTTACTGCGTTGTCTTTTTTCATTCTACTCTCAAGATCTAATATCGTAAGTGAAGAATATTTAAATCATTGAAAACTTGGCACTTTTTATTTTATATACCTGTACTAATATTATTAAAGTGGCAATATGGCGTCGAAGAAACCTGTTAACCAATCAAGTAAACAGAATCAATTGTGTGAAATGTCACCCTTGACTTAAGGTTTCGCTATTTTAAATTACATTATAATTTTGATAGAACTAAAATGCAATCACTTCTTAGAATTGTATCGTTCACAATCTTTCTGCATTGTTTTGAAAGTTCTACATTGTATCCACCTTTCTACTATGTACACTATATCTACTGGATCTATGCTGCATATCATTTCATCTTTCATTCCCACTTGTTCTTCTAGACCCGTACATTCTAAATTCAAAACATTTATCCCTTAGTGGCCTTCAACCACTTCTATTCAACTTCAAAATGTTTGATTTTCTCCCTTACACAATTTTTATATAACCTGAAAGAGGCATTCAAACATTCTACACACCAGCAAAACTTGCGATCCTATAAATTCATTCTCACGCTACTATGTAATCCTCACCCCCAACTATTTCATCGATTCATTAAGAGCGCTCTCTATTCACATTGGAAATTGGTTCATGGAAGCTCGGTCGATAATCGTGTCGATAAAAATCGCTAGCTGCCGTTTCTCGCGTATCCGTTGATTTTTCTGTTGCCAGTTACCCCCTCTAGTGTTATGTAAGCAACGATTGCACGCGAACCAGCGTGTGGTTCCACCGCGCAAATTAACAGCATGCCGGTCGTATGAAAGTAACGAGAGATTCACGTGATCGATAAGTATCAGGGGAAGGCAGCAGCAGATCTTGATCCACATGTGTTCCGTGGATCTCGATCCCGCCTCTTTGTGTCCAGCGATTGTTTGTCGCGCGCTGGGACGTTCGCGAACCACGAATTCCTTTCCAGTGAAGTGGACGACCAAGTGCGGAAATATATTCGGCTCTGACGGCCTGGGGAAAAGTATCGCGTTCCAAAAATCTACGGTCGTCATCGTCGTATCCCTCACGAGATGCTCCCAGGCCTGTAATTAATCGTATGGAGGCCGGTTTCTGCGTACACATGCGCGTCAAAGCTCGCACGTCCTCCATTAGGTAGCGTTTCCATCGGTCGGTCAGCCGCGTTTTGACGTTGGAATTGAAATACGTTGAAAAAGGTTAAATTCCAACCTTTCAGGGTTAATGCATTAAATAAAGGTGGTTTGATTAATGGAAATTTTCTAGGAAATTATACACATCGGCTGGATGAATAATGTTGATGCAGCGGCAATGGAAGTGGAGACAAATCGACTTTGGCTGGTTTCTGCAAGCGAATCGGTGTATGTATAGGGTTAATGGTGCAAGGTACGAGGATTGATTGTTGGGTTTTATTGTGGCACTTGCACGGGTTTGAAAGCGGCGTGAGCATGCAATTCTATGTTAAAGGTTCGTTTTTAAGGATTAAGAACTGCTAAAGTAGCCAAAATGACTGGTTTAAATTTCTTATAAAAATTATACAAATTGGGGACGGCGATTTTTTGCAAAGAATATACAATAAACACTTGTTTTAGTCGTTATGGTTATTCTCATTTCTTATGCGTTTTAAAATTTGATACTAATTAAAATAAATTTCATCGCGATAGTTTTTTCAATTTTTTATAAGAACTGATTTCATAGACAGTAATTCATGTGGAAGATTAATGTTCTCGTTGGACAAGTTAGAATACTTCTATTTACCCTAATAACGACTTCCTTCAAAATTGACTCGGGTCTTATTTAATTCTCACTTTTAACGGTATAAACAAACCCAGCTCCTACATAGAGGCATTATAAACCAGGTAATCTCCACAGATCACATCCTTCTGAGGCTGATGTTACAAAAAAGTAGAAAAAAGGTAAAACTTGAATTGTATAATGACAGCAAGCTTCCTCTAGCTGATTTAATTTTCCCTTTCCTCTTTTTTAATGCTTACCATCGAACAAACTAGCCTCCTGTTCCAAAATAAAAAGATCGACCAGAATTATGTTCACTTAACCTCTAAATACAAAACAAATATTTCATCGACAAAACGAGTTATAGTTATAGGTTATAGATAACCTATACATAGCTGCACTAAGAACGACGCCATGGAAGGATCAGACATCGTTAAACAATTCAATTTCTTTCTTCTGGCGATTACTTTCTGGTATCAAAAACTACGGGAGCTATATGCTCGAATCGCGTGACTCGATCCATATAAATTAATATTCCCTGAACGTGCACGCCTTCGAACGCACCTGCTTTTCACTTTAACCGCTCTGCGTGCGTCTTCCGTGCGGTTTATTGGTGGCCGGTGGAAACGCGCCCTTAATGCCATTACGGATAGTTGAGTCGAGGAGCGCTGCCACTGATAAACGTTTCATTCACCGGGGCCCTCACCCAATTATGCTCGGCGAGAGTAATTTACCCTTTCGGGGCCGGCATTCGGTCAAAACATGTGAAAAAAACGTGATAAATGACTGAAAGGGTAATCGTAATGGCTTCCATTTAAAAATTATTACAATTGTTAAACGAACTTCTTTTTCATAAGGAATATGTATTTTAAGCATTTTTTTGGCTTGAATATGTATTAAATATTGTTGCTACTGAATACGTTGATTTTTAATCTATATTTTACGAATTAATAACGTTATATAGATATGTTTTGCAGAAAAATTATTTCTTAACATATTAAAAAAAAAAAGGAATAAAAAGTATTGTTTTAAAAAATAAATGAATTAAATTTTAATGCTTAATTAATGTTGGTTGATAGGAAATATTGATACACCAATTTCTATACTTCATTATACTAAATTCCAGCACAACAAACAATTTCTACATGTTAATATTCTACATGTGTTTCATTTTTAAATGCTTTCATTATACGCCCCTAATTAACCGCAATCAGGAGAAAAGATTTTAAACGACCTACTTATTTCAATCTGGAATGTTTTCTGTTCAATTTTTAAGTTTTCTTGGTTAACTTCGCGTTACGTTGGACGATCTCTTTAACTATGTATGAGAAAATGTTTGCGTGGGATGTTTTAGAGTTTCAGTAAAAGGCGATCGACGGTAAACCGTACGAAAGAAAGCTTATGAAAATAGATGGATTAAAATATGGACCAATTAATTTTATGATGTTTTTAAATCTTTCCTAATCTCAACACAAAAAAGAGATGCAACAAAAATCCCCTATCTAACCTAACCCAAAATAATATTCTACAATAAACATCAATTGGAAATCATCTACCAATCAAATTTCTCAATCACTCTCCACCTATTTTCCCTAAGCCAACTAAACACCTACTCAAAATTCTGACATAAAAATCCACATCCATCCAACCACACACGTCCTCCCTCTCACTCCTGCCATCTAACCACGCCCGGAGCAACGACCACGCGCATCGTCCATCAAACCCCCATCCAGTACAACAATCCATTTCCCAACGACCTCTTCTTGAGTTTCCGCAAAAACCACCGTTAAGCACCGCACGAAGCAACTACCAACGAACGAAACAGCACACTCGTACAAAATTCCATGCTCAAGAATCCAACACTCAGAACACTCTCATTTCTCATCGTCACGATGAACGCAAAACGCTCGATTTACCCCCTCAGGCGCCATTGCTGTACGAAGCTCCAGTCTGCCTTGAACCCGCTGCTGTCCCCCGGCAAGGACCAATAATCCTCGAGCTGGCTCTCGTCCTCCTCGATCCTCAGCACGTCCTCCCTGCTCGGGCTAACGTTCACCACGATTTCGTGCGTGACCTTGACCTCCTCGTTCTCCACCAGGCTCACAGTCGATCGTTGCTTCTCCTTCTGACCCCTTCTACAGTTCTTTCCATCCTCAACGTCATTAATTTCCTCTTCTTTCTTCGATTCCACCATCCTAACCTCTTCCTTACAGTTCAACTGTGACGAAGAAGCCTCTTTCGAATTGAATTTGTTATTCTGCCTTTGACTGCTGTCGCCAAAGTATATCACCGTCTTATGAGCTACGTCTTTCTCCCTTCTACCGTTGCTATTCGCTGTTGGCGTCATTCTGCCCTCCACTTCCGCTCTGTGACCCGATTCTTCCAATGTATTACTATCTTTGTAGCCATCATTTATCGAATTGGTTATGTTCAGCCATTCCTTCGACGGTGATTTGCTCGTGAAGGGCAGAGCTCGACGTAAAATGAAGTTGACGCCGTCACGGCGAGGAGATTCTAAATTTCCTGGCATACTGCAGTCGGTTAGTTCACGACAGATCACGCAGTTGCAGTCCTTGGCGCTGCATGATCTCTGTTTAAGCAGTGGCATGTCATCCGATGCTTTTATATATGCACATTTTTATCGTTGTATTTTTCGTTGAATATTTAAATAAGGAAAATTCAGGTTGTTTGAATGGACGATGAGTCAGTGATGGGAACCGAGATTCTGGGTATGTGTAATAGTTGGTGGTTTGTATCTGGGAGGATGTCCGCTGACTGAACGCTTTTTATCGATTATTCCGGTTACCGAGATGAAGAAATAGGTTTCTTGGTGGGGATAAGAGATGGCGCGTTAAAGGTGACGTTTTGTATGAGAAAAATGGTGGATATGGTGGACTGTAGTGTTTCTTAAGAGGAAGTGGACAATTTTTCAGAGATTTGAACTAGAAAATCTGTAGTATTTGTATACGATGATAACAGGTAGAGTGATTTTATGATGTTATATCATTGAAAGAGTTCAATGACTTTATGTTTTTTCAATATTCACGTACGGTGGTTGGTGATATATCGTTTGTAAAGTTCATCGATAATTTTATTAATATTGAGCGGTGTTATGGATAGTTTCATCAGGTGTGTACAAATGAAATTGCAACATATTCTTCGAATTCTTTTCCGATTGTTTAACACTAATTTTCTTCAAGGTTATGTTAATCAGGCAAATTTTTTTATTTAATGTATATGATACAATATCACTCTTAATCTCTGGCACTAGTACTCCTTACACAAATCTCATAATCTTATCAATCAGTCTTATTTTCTTTGTTCTTATTTCCCATCTGGTAATAGATTCCTGCAGTTATCTTAATACTCTATTAAATAAAAGTTCCTTTCACCATTTACAATGTTCAGTATTGCAATTAAACAAAACTAACATGAAATCTCAATTTATTGAAGTCCTCAAATAGACTGTTTCTTCCAATTTCTACTTCCAATATACTGACAGATCCCTCCAGTTGTCCAAAATCCTTCTTAACCTCCAAATAAATAAAATTTCCTCCCACTGCAACAATAATAAAATCAACCGAAAATTCCATTTCATTTAATTCTGTCTCAGACTTGTTCCTTCTCTATTTCTTTCCAATTTCTTGTTGAATTCCTTCAGTTGTACGTTCACGTTTCACTGTGGATACAAGCAAATCGCCGTACGCGTTTCGCGTGGTTTTTGCCCCGGTCTCCGATCCGGCACGCGACTGAAAACAGTATGGTTCGCAACGACAGGATCAACAGGTGAAACGCGTGCGCTTCCTCCGCGAACCGCAATGTCGTCGAATAGAGCACGCCGGCTACTGTATCACTTTCCTTTCGTTGCTTCTTTTCCCCCTAGAGGAAGCTCGACGTAACAGTATCACGAAAGCAGGAGCTTCGACTGTTATCGCGTGAGAACCTCTTTCTTTCCTTCCCTTTTTATTTTTCACTCCCTTTCAATAAGAAGAGTAAGCGTTCATGACGAATATCACCATTATGCATACGTACGTCCTTTTTCGCGTCTGTGATAAATGTGACGATGTAAATTATGTTTGTGCTTTAATTTTTTCTTTTCTTTTTTTCTTTTCTTTTTTTCTTTTTTTTTTTTACTTTCTTCTCTCGGTCAAGTGAAATTCGTGGAGCAGAATGGCGAAGAAACGTTACACAAAATGATTAAAAAAGAGAGTAACAAGTTTTTGATGTTTACATTAGGTTAGGTTAGGTTGCGGAGAGTGTTAGGTTACATTGTAGATGGTGAGTAGGTTCTGATTAGGTTAGGTAAAATTGTATAGGGTGATTCAAAAAGTCTCGAATTTTATATGCTTAAGCATTGATTTTTTAACTTTATAGAGGTTAGGTTGGATTACTATGTATGAATAGCATAACAGTGATAAAGCTTACATCTCACTCTTTTAAACACTCATGTGGAAAGTAAAATTGCTTGTTGAAGAAGTTTTAGAATATTCTGATCCAAAAAATGTATTGTTATTCATACATTAAAAAATACTTGTGTATGCATGCATATTTTTTGAATGTTTCAAATATTCAAATGTAACAATTTTGAAGTGGCTCGTTAATGTTATAATTGTATTGGAATATGTTCATGGATACACTTATCAACTTGAGAAAAAGTAATACTGAAAATGTTCAACAGTTTATGAAATTCCCTTTGTTGCGGAGCACGAACTCGTGAGAGATTCGTGTTTCGCCCAGTCTAGCTAGTCCATTTCTGACCAGGCAAAAATTTCGTTATTTAAGAATTCGTGAGAAATCGTACGAAATGCTCGCCGGAACGCCAAACATAGAATACAAGAGACCAATTACGAGCGCTCGCGACTTTCACCGTTCTACTCCGTGGAAAATTGATTCTTGAACGAAATACCACCAATTGCCAACAGACACCACCGATATATCAGGCCCATCTCCACTGATTAACACTATATGGAACGCTTTGTACTTTTGGCAAATCTATCTTTATACTTCTAGCTTACTGTTGATTAACCTCTCTTATTTTACAATGTTTCAATGAACATATGATATAAAGTTAACGTTATCCATTCACTGTTTTAATATCACATAATACAGGGTGTTTCAAAAAGATGTCAAAATTAATGTTCGTTTACAAAGAAACTAAAAATTCAACATGTAAGTGTTAACGCGTCTTTTTAAACCCCCTGTATATAACTAAATATCTAATTTACAACCAATGTTATGAAATATTATTTTTACATGCATCTGTATAATTTTAATTTGATCATTTTCAATCGCATAAATTTCAAATGAAACTTAACTTAAAATCTGCTTTTATCAAATAAGTACATATATTGTTTTGAATATATCAAAGTTGCAAATGGTGCTTTCTTGGACGCATAAATATCAAAGGTGTAAAGAAGACTAAATATGATTCACATACAGTAGCAGATACTGATACGTTTATCCCAGGAAATGAAAGCGTAGGTGATAGATTGGCTCATGGTAGTATCCGTATATAAGGTGTCGGCCGATAGAGCAGTGGGTCGGCGCGGTATTAAAAGAGTTTACGGAATCTCCTCTCAAATACATTTATGCTTTATAAAAATTTTCTAAGAAGCATAGATAGTTATAGACGATTTAAACGGTGTAATGCACTTGAAAAAAAAAAGAAATTTGTTTCAATTTCAACAAAATGTTAATTATATTTAAAATCATTTTTTAATTATTTATTTTAACGTTATTCAACATTTTTGAATGCAAACCAATGTTGCATGTAACTGTGATCATGTTTTATGAAGCATTTGAGGAAAGACCTTGTGTAGAAAATATGACGAAAATTGTAAAAATCCACACGAACCTACAATTTTCGATAAACAACGTTGACAATAATGATAAAGAAACTTTACAACCTTCGAGCACTTTACACCTCAAACTGATCATTTTCTAGTCACAATATCGAAACCACAATTACGAATAAACAGGACTACCAACGATAACAATCCAAAAAATCTCGAAAAGTTCTTCATTGAATCACTTTTACACTTCGAGAAAAGTGTGACACGCTTCCACTTCACTTGCGTCTTTTTAAACCACTTACAAGTTCCGATATCTGTCAGAAATACTTTTGTACAATTAGAACAAATTAACAACGACGAAATTTTATATAAAGTCACTTGAAACAATTCTATTCGTCCACTCTTTCGTCAAATATTTACAAATCCCCATGTTATAAACCAAACGTTGAAAATGATTTCAATATAATTACAAAAGAAAAAAAAAAAAGAAAGAAAGAATCAACGACGATAGAACAATAAGGTAAGTTCGAGAAGAAGAACACGCGAATTGTATAGAATTGTCTCTTTGAAAGTAGCTCGCGATAAAGGCAAGAGCAGAGCGGCGGCGGCGTTCTAGTTTAATCCTCGAACAGCGTATCACACACGCGTCACCAGTTTCTTGTGTCCCGCGCGTATAACGTGGTTAAGTGCTGACTGCCACTTGTAAACTGTTATGCTCTTTTCACCGGACAGAGAGACCGTAGGAAACGGGAGAGTGCAAACGAACAGTGTCTTTAGAGGCCCCACCATATAACGCACATACGTAGCTATACAGGTTGTTTCAAAAGCTTAGACACAAGTGTACAGGTTAGTAGGTACATGTTGTAGAGGTTAGTGAGACTCGTTCGAAGAAAGAAAAAGGTATCAGAGTGAACGTCCGCTAGGAAATAAAACAGTTTCAGAGAGATATAGAATTTTAAACGGACGAAATAAATCAATGTAAATACTTTGTAATATCACACGTGTCGCTTTATTGACTTGATTCGTCGTTGTTACAAGTGCCATCTGTCATTATACGCTATCGTTGACACAACGTTCAGACAGCTCGGTAGCAATAAGCGTGTCGAACGAGATGCCGCGCGCGCATCGTCGATACATCGAACTCTCGTTCGTAAATCAATAACACTCGTGAATCGATTACATTCACGATTCTGTCTCGTGTATCTTTCTCACCTCGAACGTAGCTTTCTACACTTTTTTCAATTAGTGTCTGTTGTAAAAAGTGTATTCTATTAGGTGTAGAATTTGTAGTCGATTTGTATGCTAGGTTAGGTTACGAAATAAAACTTGAATTATCTCTGAAACGGTTCATTTCTGGACACACGTTTACTGAGACTTTTCTGTTTCTTTCAACGAGTTCAGTTAGTCTGTACAGCTTTGTACGGATACTTTTGAAATAACCTGTAGGAGTATAGAAGAGGAACGTTTGCTGGTAAGTTTGTTTCGGGGGAGAGTTTCCGGCGACCATCCTACTTCCTATGACCGTGTACTCGAATCGCCCTAACCACATCCCGTGACGATTCTCGGACACTCGGTGTATTTTTTTTCGATCCTTTCATCGCGCTCAGCCAACGTCCCTTTTTTATGCAAAACCATCGTTTATCGCGATCGAAGGGCGTTAACTGTTAACCGGCGAGATTGGGAAATACCGTTGTTAGATATGAGTGTGCGTGTGTGTGGTAACGTTTTATAGGAAATGGTCTTTAATGGAAATTAAGTTCTCTTAAGATAGAATTTGAAGTTACTGTAACATTTGAAATTTAGAAAAAGTGAAATTTCATGTAACAGG